TTAGCGGACAAGGCTGGTTTTCTGGGACAGGTCTGTGCCAGGACACGGGGCCAGGACCCCACACCTGAGGCTAGGGCTCCTCTGATCCCCTGGAGGGACCCAGTCCGTCCCGTCTGCCCTGTTCGTCGAGGCCTCGTCCCTCAGGGCCTTGGGGCGGTCCCAGGAACCACGGCGGTGCGGCCCGTCCGGAGCTGGAGGGGTGTCTGGGCCGTCCTCGAAACCCCACGGCCACACTTGTCACCCACGGGCTGAGGTGCACCTGCCCTCCGGAGGAGGAAGGGCAATCATGGGCTTTGCCCACAGGCTGTGCGGCCGCCTCTGGCCAGGAGCTGACCTCGCGCACAATAGACCCAGTGGTGTTCTGCAGGGGCCTCCGAGCGTGACCCTCCTCCCCTCTCCTCTCCAGAGGGGCATCCGAGCCCCGGCCGTCTCCCTGGGATGGGAGCTTTCCTAGAGGTGAGGCCAAGCTCACGACGGGCTGGGTCGGCAGGTGTTGCCGTGTCTCCAACACGCTCCCTGGAGCTAATTGTGGTCAGGCTCCCGAGACCTCCGCCCGCCTAGGGCGACCTTGGGCTTCCGCACACCCTTGCTGAGTCCCGTCGCTTGAGAGAGACTCCCGCCCTAGGTGGCGAAGCCGGTGGCCCCACCCTGCTGTCGCTGGCCGTGGACCCCGTGGTCTGGGAGGGACCCTGGGGGCCCCGTCACTCCCCGGCCGTTCCGCACGCCCTTCTTTACCATCGCTCCCGGGCCAGGATCGCTCTCGCCGTCTGCACAGCGTGTGGGGGGCAGCGGAGGGGTGCAGCTTCCACAGGCTGCGTGTCCCGCCTGCAGGACAGAGGGGACGGGCCGCCAGCCTGGGTGGGCGCCCCTCGGCTCGCTCGCTCCTCTGGCTGGAGTGAGGCTCCCTCCCAGAGAGACCGTGGGGGAAGGGGGCCAACGTCACAGGCGGACCCCCCGGGGGCCACCGGCCACCCACCCGCCACCCAGGAAGGGCACTGACGCGCCCTCTCTGCAGCACCGGAGGAAGGAATAAACGAGGTGACATTCGTAAAAGCAGAAAAGACACGTGATGATTATTTTAGAGCAATTCTGTGACTCTGGGCACAGAAGGAGGGAATAAAAGGTGGTTGAGATGCAGCGTATCTCCTAGTGAAATCAACGAGTAAATGGAGATGCCCACAGGACCACGAACGTGGACCAGCCAGCACAGACACGGGGCAGCCACGAGTCCTCGCAGCTCTGGAACCACGGACGGCCGCAGGACGTTTAGAAGGGAGGCTGGTGCTCAAGGCCGGTGCCCGGTGGTGGGCACGTGGGCTGGGGGGTCAGATGCCGGTTGAGGCCAGTGGGGGGCGGGGGCCAAGAGACGGACGGACACAGGAATGTCTGACCCCGCCTGGACCCAGTTTGGGAACCCAGGCGGTGCAGAGACGTCACCATCAAGCACGGCGTCAGCAAAGGGCCTGCACACGGTGGGCACGCGGGTGTGTGTGTGATCGGCCGTGTCCCCCGTCTCCACGTGTCCCCTCCATCCTGGGGGCCGGGGAGGGGCCGGGAGCATCAGCTCGCAGCGTGCACCCTTGTGAACATTCGGCTCGGTGGGGAGGCTGTTGGCGAGTTGTGATGAGGGGGTGAGGAGTGGAGGGTGGCAGAAGGGAGACAGGTGGCCAGACAGACACCTGAGACGGGGACTTTGGGATACGTGTGGGGGGAGGGCGTGCTGTGTCCCCGGCCGTCCTGGGGTCTTGGGTCCTGTGCTGACCAGCCTGACGCAAACCCCAGCCCTGCTCCCACCCCGGCCAGCGCGGCACCCGTGGCCCCTCCCCACACTGCCCCCCCATCTTCCTTCTCTGTCCCCCCCACCTGTGCTCACCGCTTATGACCTCCCTGCTGAGTGGCAATGGCCCCTTCCTCGCCCGACGTCATTTCTCCCCAGGTTGGCCCCTCCGAGGGGCAGCGGCCTGGGGATCGTCCTCAGACCCCCAGTGTTCCCTCCCTGTAGCCCCACACTGGTCCTGCTGGGAGGGGGACGCACAGAGGCCCCCCGACACTCCTTGGTGGGCCCAGCACCCGGGGAGTCTTGGGGTCTTTCCCGGAGAAGCACACTCTCCATGGGCACCAGCCTGTGGGGGTGAAGGCAGCTCAGGATGAGGGGAGCAATGTGGTCACCTCCTGAACGCCAGCCTGATAGGTGACTGTGGACCTGAGGTGCCCCGCAGGAGAGGACGCAGCCACTCGGGGTTGAGGGGAGGCACCCGGCGGGCTGGCAATGCCCCCTGGGACGGCCCGAGCTTCCACCACGGGTGAGCCCAACTCAGCAGCCCTCCGGATGGATGCTTCTGAGTGTGACCTTGGGGTCCCTGACCTTGGGGGTCCTGGAGGTCAGGAACCGTGCAGATCTCTTCCTTGGAACCCTGGCTCACAAGGTGCTCAGCACATGAGGGTAATTTTGAGAAAGTCACACCTGTGCCCACACACACACACACGCACGCACGCGCGCGCGCGGGTGTGCACATGCTCCCTGCCCCCGGGGACACTGAGCTAGCCCACTGTTGGCCAGGCCGGCCCAGGAGCTAGCCCGGGACAGGAGGGTACAATGGTGGCCACGGAGCCTGGCCTGATCCCGGCAGGCGGGCAGATGTGTGTTCCCGCTCGCCCGCAGCCCGGGCTCGTGTCGGCACCTGGTAAGAGGCGGGCACGGGGGCCTTGGAGCCCAGCCGTCAAACGTGGCTGCAGGACGGGGTTCTGTGACGGACGGTGGCGGGCAGGTGGCGGGCACTGACGTGCAGAATCGGGCCAAGGAAGCACTCCCGTCATTTAGGGATGACCCACGTGCCGGGCTTTTCACAACCGGCGTCTCCCTTTATCTCCAGGAAAACCCAGTGAGCTTTGCACAATCCTCCCTGTCCCACCAAATAGGGAAACCGAGGCACAGAGAAGAGGCGCGACCTTTTTATACCATGCAGCTAAATCGCGACTGCCACAGCCGGGCAGGCTCCCCAGGAGCCCAGGGCCATGTCCAGGGGGTCGTGGCCTCCACTGCCCCACTGCCGACGCTCAAACCGTCCATCCTGGTGGCCCTGCGGGAGTGGCCAGCGTGCAGTGGGGAGAGCTGTCCCGCGTCCTCCTCCTCCTCCTGTGGCAGCCTCCGTGCATCTTGACGCCTCCCCTCACCGCCCGGCCGGGACAGGGCGCCACGGACACGGCGCTCGCCGCACAGACCACGCGTGGCCGTCCCCACGGTGGTGAGGTGGCCCTCACACGTCTTGCTCGGGCTTTGGGGCTCTTTTCCCGGCCTGCCAGCAGGCGGCCGTCATGACCGTCCTGGTCGTCGGGTGAGGAAACCGAGGCCAGAGGGCTCATGTCAGCAAAGGACGGGACCAGCCGGAGGGAGCAGAGACGGCTGCTCCCGTGTGGAAGCCTTTCCGCCAGGCTGGAGGCTCCACGGGGACCTCTGATCGCAGAGACGGAGGGAGCCTCACGGGAGACCTGTCCCCAGGAGGTGCTCTGGTCTGTGGTACGAGGCAAGATGCTCGTTTACGTGACGGTCAGCCTCCGAGACGCCGGGCTGTTACTGAGACATGACCCAGCCCGTCCTGACCGATACGCTTTGGGTTCTTGGGAGACGACCGCCCTCACTCTCACGAGCCCGGGTGGCCGTGAAGGTCTCGATGCTTTTCTCTAGTTTGCTGGTTTGTGGGTTTCTCTGGGACGTGCCCAGGGAGACTCTGCGACAGTGACGTCGGACCGCAGACTTCCTGGGCGGGCGGCTCTCAGGGGGTGAGCCTCCCGGATCTCCCGCTTGAGCCGCCTTTCTCTCCCTCACACGCCCCCTCCTGTGGCCTCCGGCCTGTCCTTCCTCAGCTTGGACAGAGAAGTGGTGCCCCGGTCCTGCCCTATTTGTGCCCGGACTACAGAGCCCCAGGCTTCTCCCCCTCCACCGCCCCGTGGCACCAGTGGCCTCTGCCGGGTCTGTGTTCCGCCCCCTTTCCTCCCTCCCAGGCCTAGCCCAGCTCTGTGCCAGCGGGTGGGGGTCTCCTCCCGGGTCTCGCCTGGCTCTATGCCAGGAGCGGGGTGTCGCCTACCCCCCGCGCTGGCTCCAAAGGCCAGGGGAGTCTCCTTACAGTCAGGCTCAGACTGCAGACAGCCCACAGCTGAGCCACCAGCCACGGCTCCCGGGGCTCCCATTTTACACAGAGCAGCTGGGAACTGACAGGTGTGGCTTCCCCGCGTCTAGGAGATGGGACTCCGGGCGGCAGAAATGTTCTCAGTGCCAAGACCCCCCTGCAGATCTGAGCGGACGTCTCCGGAAAGGGGGTCTCCTGTGGGGGCTCTGCTTCTCCGCGTGCAGGGCCTGGCCTCTGTGTGGTGGGGGGGGTGGACACTCACACACAGGGTGACAGGGGCCCCGGAGTAGCTGCGGGCTGGGCACCATCTGCTCAGGGAGCCGCCCTGCTGGCCCTGGAAGGAGGTCCCCGTGGCCACCTGTGCGCTGAGCTCTGTGGGCCTGTCGCCCCCCAGACGCACCTGCTGCAGCCCCTCCCAGGACACCACGGCCGGCAAACAAAAGCCATGCTTACCAAAGGAGTTTTTCTTTATTTTCATAATTTAGCTGAATCAACACAAAACTGAATACTGTAAAACAAGAAAAAAAAAACCGCTGTATCGTCTTAAACCTCCAGTCTCTGCCTTCGAAGGGGTCTACACTGGCTGTGTGAGGAAATGCACACAGGGAGGCGGCAGAGACGTGGGCGGGGCGAGAAGGCGGGACCCTCCCCCGGCCGCCCGCCACTTCGGCCACCAGAAACCGAGGACCCCCCCCCCCCGGCCGTGTCTTTCCCTCCAGGACACTCGAACCTCTACATTTGTGGTGACCAAAAGGTAAATTAAATGCTCGTGGACGTTGAAACGGGTCTAAATGGATCTTCTCTCCTATCTGTAGTCTATGGGTTGCTGGAACAGCTTCTATACATATATGTATATATATATATTTTTTTTTACTTTTTCTTTCTTTTTTTTCTTTTTTTTTTTAGTAGCATCGAACTAGCATTAACACCTGTTAATCGGACTATCAGGTAGTGTAGTTCAGCGGAAACTCAGGAGAATGGAGGAACCCGGCGGACGACGGCCAGGGGACGGGGAAACAGAACTGCCCCTTGCTCACTGGGCCCGGAGACCCTGCCCTGCACCGAGGGCGCGAGAAGGTCGGGAGGGCCAGGCGCCGGCCATCCTCCGCACGCGGTGGCCACCCCAGCGTCTCAGCCGTCCGGCGTGAAGACAGAGCCAGCGGGGCGTGGACTGGGGTCGGGGGTCGGCTGCAGAGACCCCTCCAGACCCGCCATGTGGGGGTGGGGGGTGAGAACAAGGGACGCGGAATCCGTCGGAAGAGGACGCACACACCGCGTCCGCGGAGACGGGCAGGAGGGGAGCCGCGCCCTGGCCTGAGCCAGGTGAAGACAGCCGCGTCCCCGCTGGCGCCCGCCGCGGCTCCCGCGACGTCGGGCGCGTCCTCGGCTGCTGTCCCCAGAGTCCTGCGCTCGCGCCCGGCGGGGGCCCCCCGCGCCCACCCCCCGGAACCTCCAGAGACACCGCGCTCTGCCGGCCTCTCGGGTCGGCCAGGGCTACCAACATGAACTGTTAAATAGGATTTTCTACAAATATACAGCATATAAAAACTGTTAAATATATAACTTTAGGCTTTGCAAAATACATTTAATGATCTCTTTCAAACAAGTGTTACTCGAGTTTTCTTTAATTTGCTTTCTGGAGCTAAATGGTGTATCAGAGGAGACAGCGGTCACGGGAGACCCAACATGCTCTTGGCGAATACTGGATTATCCCACTATCAGAAATGAGCTGCAGAGAGGCAGGTGTGACTGGTTAAAACAGAAAGTGATTTTAGTCGGTCAGGTCCATCTAAGCACAGTGCGCGGGGCGGGCGCCGTGGTCTGTGTCCCCGGCGAGGCGCACTCGCTCGCGGGGTCCGCGTGGGGGCATCGCCGGCCGCGGTCCGCGGGGCTGTGTCCTCCGCCGGCTGGGCCCCTCTCAGGGCGCGCCGCAGTGTCCGTGGGGCGGACGCGCCCGCCAGGGCCGCCCTCCGCGCCCCGCCGGGGCCCCCGGCACGTCTCGGCCCCCGTGTCCCCCAGTTGGACCCAGGGACTCGGACGGTGAGGGTGAGTCCACGTTAAAATAGATTTGCTCTTTGGTCTATTGAGTAAATACTGAAAGGGTAAGAAAATAAAAGCGATTCGGACAGTCTGGGGCACAAGGCCAGTCCTGCCCCGGGCCCGGCGCCACCCTTCTTCCCGGGCTGGTGAGGCCAGGCTCCCGCGGACGCCCAGCGCTGCCCCCGCTGTGTCCCAGGCCGGGCTCCTCGCTGCCGCGGACACGCTCAGCTCAGAACGCCAGGGAAGCGGGCTGTCCTTGGCAGGCTACAGAGAAACGGACGGTGGGCGGGTGGCAGAGAACAGGTGCTGCCCACGGCGGACAGAGGGCCGTGGCTGAGGCGTGGACTCTCCAGGGAGCCAAGGCCACTCCCGGGGCCCCTCTGGGGCTGCGTTTGTCAGGAGACCTGAGGAACAGAGAGAAGAGAGTGTCAGCCCGCAGACACCAAGGGTCCCGGTCGGGAAGGAAGGAGCCCAGGGCACGCCCGCCAGGCTGGCCTCGGGCGCGGTGCAGTGCGCAACACGGACGCCCGTCCTTGTCCCTCCCCCGGCTCAGACCAGCGTACTTTCTCCAGGACATAACATCAGACTTCAGGTCTACGCCTGCCACAGGGAGTCGCTCTGGGAAGCACCGTCCTTCCTCTGTGTCCCTGGTGGGGACCCCCACCCCCGCGCCGGGCGTGACCGCGGGCTCCCGCCCTGAGCACTGCTAGCCAAGGGCACGGCCTGTGCTGGACGGCAGTTTGGCTCTGAGCCCCGCCCACCCGTTTCCCTAACGCCGTCTGGTGCGCTGTGCCATGCACACAGCAGGTGTTGCCTAATTGCGTGGCGACAAGTGATGGTAATGAAGTGTCGCAGGCCCGCGGAGCCTCTGGGAGGCCAGAGGTGGGCGGGATGCAAGCCCCTGGTTGGTGACGCCCCTGCATCCCAGAGTCCCAGCAAACACGTCAGGCTGAACACGCTCACGGCCACAAAATGTGAGGTGATGGTCGCAAGCCACGGCTGTGGGGTGGGGAATATGGCATCCTTAAAGCAGCAAAGGCAGAAAAGTGGGGGGGGGCATGGGGGTCTCCCTAGACCAACACAGCCTCACACCACTGGACCTGCGACCAGAAGCCTGGTCCCAGGTCGTCCCAAATCCCCACGCGGCCCCTGTCTCCCTTGTCCCCCAAGGTGGCCCCAGGCCCAGGCAGGGACCCTGGGGCTCTGGTCAGGCACTCAGGGGCTGTGCAGCCTCCCTGTGCAGCCTCCCCGCAGGGGCCCCCAGGCAGGGGATGGGACACAGGACAGAGTGACGGCCGGGGTGGGGAGGCTGTCAGCCATCCCAGCTCAGCCTTCTCTCTCCACGCAGAGGCACCCCCCGCCTCCGGCTGGCCCCCATCTGCACCCCACCTGCCTGAGGCCCCCACCACACTCCCACCCAACCCTGCCCGCCCCACAGGCCCCTGCCCCACCCCCGCTGGCCGCACCACGGCCTCTTAGCCTTCTCTCAAATTCTCAGTCCCACCAGGCCGGGCACGAGTGGTCCTTGCTCGTGGGGACCCTCCCCCCAGGTCCCCCTGCGGAGAAGCCCATCCTGATGGCGCCACCTGGAGTCGACCGTGCCCCGGCTGCTTACGCGGTAGGTGTGGGGGGGGGGGGCGTCCTCAGGCCGGCCACGCCCCACCTGTCACCCCTGAGGACCCACTCAGGGAGTCTGGACACCTGGCTGCAGGGAGCCATCCGGGGACAGAACAGACGGTCTCCCGGGGACAGATCAGGCTGCACCTGGCACCCCTGGCACCCCAGGCACCACGGAACAGAAAAGCCGGCTCGGCTCACTGCATCCAGGTCCCCTACAGCGACCCCGTTCTCCCCCCGGAGGCCAAGGGCTCGTCTTCTCACTGACGTAGGCCGTGGCCAGAAGGGAGCAGGGCAGGGCCGGTGGGGCCTGGTCCCCACGAGCCACCGAGGGCGGGCGGCTTGTTTCTGCAACAAAACCTGGCAAAGCGTCTGGACCCTCCCCTGTGCCCGCTCCACCCCCACCAGCGCCCTCTGGGGTCTTACAGCTTCCTGCCCCCGCCCCGGCCCCAGGCAGAGCGGAATCGGTGTGGGATCTGCGAGCACTGGGGGAACAGAGGGCTGTTGGCTCTCATCCGGGATTGCGGCCACCGGAACCACGGGAACAGAGGTGACTGACAGGGGTGCGGCCTGACCCAGACCCAGGCCCGCACGCCACGTGGCCGTGGAGCCCTGGCGGGGCAGGGGGGGTGGGGGAGGTGTCATCAGCTGGGCCCCTTGAGGGTTGGCTGAGCCCCGGCTACACGTCTGCGTCCTCCCACCGAGGTCCTGGACAGCAGAGGAGGGCGAGGGTGTGACGACCGGAGGTCAGCGACCCGAGTGCTTCAGGATCCACGCCTGAAATGGCCCCCGGGGGCTCGGGTGGCGGGGACCCCAGGCCCCCCACGGTCTGCCTGTGCGGGGTCCTGCAGACGGGGCCAGCAGTGGGGGGGGGGCGGGCTCCTTGGGGTCATGAATACAGATGGCAGGCGGCGGCTGGAAGCTTTAGAAATCCGACAATTAAACCACATGAGCACTTGGTCGCATCTTTGCCACCAAAACGTATTGCTTTAATTGTCAAGATTCACTCTGTTCCCTGGAGCTCTTCTGGGGCCTGTGCCTCGGTCCCATCCTTCAGCAGCTGCGTCCCCGCGCTTTCCAGAGAGGAATAACGAGACGGGTCTTGAGACAACGTGCCCCCTGAGGCTTGTCCTGCCGTCTGCTCCCCCCACCCCCCCCCCCCCGGGGCCGCCCTTGGCTCCCCAGTCCCCTGTGTCACATCCAGGCCCTCCCCCTGCCTCCCAGAGCCCCCCAGCACTTTGCGGGACGCTCGCCTGGCCGGGGATCCTCCCCCCGCTGCTCGGGACGTGCCCCCACCGTCCAGCCAAGCCAGGGAGGGCTGATGCAGACGCCTCGGGCACAAACCCTCACTGGCCCCCCAGGGCTCAACCGAGGAAAGTCTGCCTACTTTTCTCTTTCTCGTTCACGGGAGAACGGGGAAGGACAAGCACGTAAACAACGAAATTCCACCGGCGTTGCCACATCCGAAGGTAAGTGTTTGGAAAATTGCAGCCCATCTCCTTCCCCAGTGCAGTGGTGTGCACACGGGGGGGGGGGGGGGGGGGAGCTAACCCCACGTGGCCCACGAGGCAGAAATGCCAGGTCCTCCGCGCGGCTGGAGGGGGAATCCCTCACCGTCTCCCGCGACACCGGCTGAGACCCTCTGTCGAGATGCGGTTCCTCTCGCTTTGCTCACGGCGCCCGCGCCCTCCCCACAAGGCTGGGGGGGGCACCACGCGGGCCAGCGCTGCGGCGAGGGGGCCGTGCCCCGTGCAGCCGGACCCGTGTCACTTAACCTTCCCAAGGCCACGGCGACAACCCCCACACGCTGCCCCCTGCCAGCCACAGGGACACCAGGCACGGTCAGCGCTGTCGTTCGCTCCTTGGAAATCAAAGCCGGCCCCTCCCACTGACCCAGGAGCAAAGCCCCAGGTGGATACATTCTGTCCCCGCAGGCCCCACGTCCACCAGCACACTCAGCCGGCCTCCCGTCAGGGTCACGAACTCCAGGGCTTTAGCGCCTCCAGGCCTGTGAGCTGGGGCGCTGCCCAGCCCCGGGCACCCCGCTCCCCCGGCCCTGCTTCCTCAGCATAAAGCGGGAATCGGGTGCCCTTGCCACAGGGCCCAGGAGGGGGCGACCCTCCTCCTCGGGGGCCTGGGGGTGGTCAGTGCCGGGTCCCGAGGCCAGGACGTCTGGAGCGTCACGCAGGTGCTCTCCCCTGACAGCTCGGCCTCGGTGTTCCCCACGGACGGGAGAGGGCGCTCACCGCAGCTGTGGGCTGGGGCCTGCCCACCGTCACCGGGCGGGACCACCAGGGCAGCGCCAGGTGGACGCCTGGCCGTCGGGGTCGCTGGTGAGGCGGCAGGAGCAGGGCCTGGGAACCCACAGACCCGGAAGGAAGGCAGACGGTGGTCTCGGGAGCCGGGTCTCTGCAGCCCAGCTGCCCTCCTCCAGGCCGGCTGCCCTGATCTCGGGCGTCTGGGGACCACTGACAACACAGCCTGCTGTGAGCAGGGGACATGCCTCCTCCCAGAAGCTCGTGCCGCTCGCTCGCTCGCTCGCTCATTAGCCACGGATTTCAGAGAACGCTGCCGCTGGTCTCCAGCACTCCCACACACACGGATGTTTTCATCACTGCAGTGGCTCTGAAGACGCCAGGGATCCGGAGCCCGTGCACCGCACGAGGCCCCAGGCAGAGGGGGGCCGCGGACCCGCCCCGGGTGACAAGGCCTGGGGCCCCCGGCCACCACACCGCACGCCGGCCCTGCCGCGCGGCCGGCGGGGCGCCGCCCCCCGGGGGGGGCGGCCGGGGGGGGGGGGGGTGTCCTCCTGGCAGAGAGCCCGGGGTGGCGGGCGGGGGTCCCGCCCGAGGGTGAGTCCGCGTCCGACCCGGGCCGGGCAAGGCTTCCCTGTCCTGCTCTCACATCAATGCTGGCGACCCAGGGCTCTCTGCGGAACGCCCCACCTCGTCTACCTCTGCTGAGCACAGAGGGATGCGGCCCCTTGAGGATGATGCAACCCTCAGGCCCCGCGTCTCCGGAGGGTGTGCCCCAGGCCAGCCCTTGGGCCGTGAAGCTCGATGCAGGACCCCCAGAGCACGGCCTCCAACCAAGCGCGGGGCCGGCTGCGGTGGGGGCGCTATGCGGCCACCAGCTCACACAGTGGCCTGTCCCTCCCACGGCTCGTGTCCGCTGTGAGACAGGACCCAGGCGGCACCTGGCTGGCAGGGCGTGTTGAGGATTCCGGGGCCGGACTTAAGCGCCGGCCCTGGTGCAGGAGGGCAGCTCGTCGGCACGAGAGCCAAGGACCCGGGGGCGGTGTCGGGAGCCACCCCAGCCCGCCCTGCCCTCCACCGATAAGCCTTCGCGACTCGACTGTCTAGGGCCTCACGGGTCCCTCCCTCAGCAGTTTGCACCCCGAGGCCTGTCCTGGGTCTGTCTGTGCACACCGACCGGCATCGTCCGGTTTCTCAGCAGCTGTGCCCCGTGCCGGCTCCTCTCCCTGGGCCACAGGCCCCCACCCACCACTGCCGGCCGTGCTCCTGTCTGCCTCCACGTCGCCTGGCCACGGGCCTTCACCCCCTCCGGCCTCACGTGCCGTGCCCCTGGGTGGACTGGGGGACGGATGGCGAGCACGGCGGAGCTGAGGTGCCCCCAGCCTCTGTCCTGCTCAGGCCAGGCTTCCCTGGGCTCTTGGAGAGAGAAGCCTGAGCCCAGCACGTCCGGGCAGAGCAGAGGCGGGCGTGGCTTTCCTCCTCAGTGAGCATCTCTCCTCCTCCTGCCTCCGGGCACAGGGCCGAGGGCAGCA